TATTATTCATATGAACTAGAGACTTTAGCCTACACGGCTCGAGAAAAATTCCCATCCGAGGATATTGCGGTGGAACAATTTAGATTTTCATATGCCCGTAGGATATCGTCCTTCAAAATTTTTGCCCCGCCTGACGTGTTTAATATACTACTTTCTAAAAGCTTTTGGCTTAATGATGATCTGGTAATCAAAGAATTTGTTCCAAATTGTCTATTTTTATTACATGTTCGTATATTCCGCCTGGCTCTCCCCTAATAATTTATGAGCAACATCTATCTGCCATTAAATCTATTCTATCCTTCTTTAACAATAGGGACTTTTTTATTGTTTTGGGTGGTTTAAATCTCCCTGATATATCTTGGTCCCCCCCTTATGACTCGCTTGTTGCTTTACCTTTATCCACCCATGATTTTGTGGATGGCCTTTTAGAATTATCGTTACAGCAAGTTAGCTTTATACGAAATTCATTAAATAGACAATTAGATCTTGTGTTTGATTCAGAGCCGTTTGAAGTCACAGTATCTAGAATTGACGCTCTTGTGGTACCAGAAGACCGATACCACCCAACTATGGAATTGACAATTTGTCTCCCCTACCTTGATACCACCTCTCCTTTAGTTTCTCCAACTAAAATGAGATAATTTAATGATTTCGCAATATAATTGGACAGATCTTTACAACTGTGTGGACATCGAAAGTGCAAGTGAACTTTTCTATAGCATTCTAAACACTTTTTTTAATGACCCACCACTGGGATCAAAACGTGAAGCTACCGTCCTACCAAAGTAGATAACTATTGATTAATTTACCTACACTTGAAAACCGTAGAATAATGCTTGGTACTATTTTTATGCAAAATCTTATAAGAGGTGATATTGATTCTGTAGAACTGGTAAACCGTTTAACTTTTAATGTTCCCGTTAGACTAACACGAAATTATTACCCTCTTAATTTGCCTCGATGTACATCAAATTTTACTCTGCATGAGCCCTTTCGTGTTCTATGTAATAATTATAACAATCTTTATCATTTAATTTGCACTTCTACATCTATCCCTGTATTAAAAACTAAAGTTTAATCTCATTTACTTCAATCTTAGTTCATAATCTATATAATCTTTATATGTCCCGTCTCTATTTGTTTCATGTATTTTCCTAGCGAACTCGCATTTTTGCCCTAATTGATAAAGGGTCCCGCGCGTAACAAGCACGTGCTTGGTATCGTTGGGCCACTTGTTTGTACTGCTCGTAGTCCATCATATATAATGCTGTCAAACATTTTCAACATTATCTGCAAGGTAGAAAGTTTGTCGTCCATACTGACCTAAATTCCTTAAAATCGTTGGTGTATTGAACAATTCAGAGAACCGGCAAGACTCGTTGCTTAGCAGTCATTCCGAGAGCTTTTAGGTGGTCGGACCTTAATCTTGTTCACGAGGCTATAATGCATCCTGGATGGCAGAAAACTCTAAACAAGGTCTATGAACAGTAGTGGTTTAAAATTATGTCGACGTACGTCAGAAAGTTTGTGGAAAACTGTATAACTTATAAGCTCTCCAAACCCTCCACAGGCAAAGTACAAATGGAACTGCACCACGTTCCCAAGGTAGAACTTCCCTGGCATACCGTACATATTGATATTAGTGAGAAGCTGAGCGGCAAAAATGAGTTAAAGGAGTATATCATAATACAAATTAACGCATTTTCCAAGTATGTTTACCTATATCACACACTGAATTTGGATTCGGAAAATTGTATCAACGCAGTCAAGGCAGGTATATCACTTTTTGGGGTTCCTAGCCGTATAATTTCAGATCAAGGTAGGAGCTTTGCCAGTGGTCGGTTCCGTGAATTTTGTTCATCAAATAAAATTCAGTTACATTTAATTGCAACAGGGGCAAGCAGCGCAAACGGCCAAGTGAAGCGCGTGATGAGCACGATGAAAGGAACAGCAGTTGAGACAAGCGAACGCTCTTGGCAGGATGCATTGATGGACATCCAATTAGCTATGAATTGTACTAGTAATCGGGTGACTAATTTAGCCCCATAGAGTTACTAATAGGAAAGCAGGCAAGACCTTTGGGCATGTTACCCATCATATCTTAACCTAAGATAGATTGTAAGGAAGCTAGGGCAGAAGCTAAAGAGAATATGGGTAAAAATGCAAAATATGACAAGAGTAGAGTTGATCAAAATAAAGCAAAAGTTGTGAAACTTGGGATTGGCGATCATGTCTTTCTAAGAAGTGAGGAACGGCATCAAACGAAATTGGATCCCAAGTTCAAGGGACCGTTTGTTGTAACATAATTGCTGGAAGTTGATCGTTACCTGTTGAAATCATTGACTAGTAAAAGAACATACAAGTATCCGCATGAGAGCTTGCTAAAACTACCAAATAATCGAGTTGCTCAAAGAGAGTGATGGCGTTAAAAGGGACGCAGAAGATGAGTTGAGATCTGTCACCTAAGAGGGGTGCACAGGACATCACATATGTACAGAGGCTTAGTTTGATCCAATGAGAGATTGTGGCATTAAAGGTGCATATCGTCGCAAGTGGCGGCAAGAGCCTGTACTGTGTTGTGATAAATTGTAAGCCAAATGGTCGGGTTTGCGCAGTAACTTCAAACTTGTTTCAGATTAATGTGATGCCAATCCAATGTTAAGCCATGCACACGAGGACGTGTGATAGTCAGGATAGCCGTGTAGACAGAATTAATAATAATAGAAATAAATGTAAAATATAACCAATGTAACTGAGAGAAACTTGTCATTTCGAATAAAGCATTGAGAGAAAGAAGTGTGACCTTCTAAGACAGTTTAAGGGTATCACACTATTACAATTACATTTTGTTTTAAATTTGTGTGAGTAAATTGCACGAGACAGTTTATCAGTGTGTGTGTGCAGACCGCTGTTGTACAGTATACGTGAGAGGCAGAGGATGAGCAGATCAATTTCCTATGCTCACTTAATAGGACGAAGTTTTATATCTTCATCACCCTCGCACTCCCTCTAGCTGAGTAACGGGTATCTGTTAGTCGGGGCACCCGACTATAGCGTTCTCTCTTGGTTTTAATTATAATCTTATGGTATTTATTGTATTATTTTACAATAAGATTAGGAGAACGTAATTTTTAACCAGTTTTGCCGAATTGAAATCTCCCTTCGTTAATATTGGGTTAAGCAACTGCACTTTAGGCCAGCTGTTATTGGATGGTGGATGTGCTCTGTGGTCCTCTTCCCATAGAGTCCATCCGTGTGAAACGGTTGTGATTTTTAACAAATGTGAAACTCGTGTTCCCACGGAGCTCCATCCACCATCCAATAACAGCTGTCTGAAAAGCAGTTGCGGAACTCAACAATTACGAAGCGGCATTTCAACTCGGGAAAACGGTCGTAAAATGGAATTCTCCTAATCTTATCGGAGAATAATACAGGGTAAGAATTTCTCAACTGCGCATATGAAATTTTAGATTTTCTTCAAACACGGGTACCTCGTAGAGTTTGGCTTGGATATCATCTGTAATTTTTTTGAAATTTTTTAGTGTCCATTTAGGGGCGCTATGAATTTTTGAAGTTAAGAACTTAAAAAATGTTCTCAAACTTCAAATTAGTATATCTCGAGAACGGCTTAGAAGAACAACTTGCAACTTTACACGTTTTTAAATGTGTACTGGGGGAGTTAGAAAATAATTTTCTTAAATTTGTTGTTGTCCAATAGGTATGAATTTTAATTATTTGAAATTTTGTATCGCGGTTTTGACTGTCTTCTTCATCCTATAAAAGAAACTTAACTATCCAAGATTGTCCATCTCATAACCAACTTAATTTACCCGAAGAAACATTTTTGGTACTTTTCATCATTTCCAAGATATATATTTTTTTATGCGAATTTAGAAAAATCCTATTTAAATATATCCAATGAGTACAATTCTTACATGTTTTAGCTGAAAAAAAATCTTCAAAAAATTTGAAGAAAATCTAAAATTTCATATGCGCAGTTGAGAAATTCTTACCCTACAGTAAATAGATTAGGATAATAGTTAATAGACATTTAAGAGCTTTTATAAAATATCCTATAACGAGTATTCATACATATTGCTGACTGGGGGGAGCCTAACGTCTCGTACCCCACACTCCGCTCTTACTACGCCTCTGTCTAGCCAATATTATTATGAGAAATTTGTAAACAAAACCAAATTTGTGCTGTTTTGGTAATTTACAGCCACTTTGGAACTTTATAGGAGTACATTGTACACTTTAAATTAATATTAGTTATTATTTGCGAAATGAAGAACACATTCTGAGACATTGCTGCACACATTGAAGAACAGCTATACATTTTGCCATGAGTGGGACAAAATGTAAGCTGTTCTGCGTACGAAAACATCAATGTTTGCAGCAAGACTCAAAATATATTCTGCACTTCGTAAATAATAACTAATATTAGTTAAAAGTGTACTATGGACTCCTATTAAGTTCCAAAGTTGCTATAAATTACCAAAACAGCAGAAATTTGGGTTTGTTTACAAATTTGCCATATTAATATTGGCTAGACAGAGGCGTAGTAAGAGCGGAGTGTGGGGTACGGGAGGTTAGGCTCTCCCCCAGTCAGCAATATGCATGCATTATTATAAAAGCTCAGATATGTTTTAAGCTAGTATCCTTTGCTATATATTGTATTATTCTACAATAAGATTAGAAGAACACAATTTTACGACAGTTTTGCCGAGTTGAAATCCCCTTAGTTTATGTTGAGTTGAGCTCTTCAAGTCATCTGTTATTGGATGTGGATATGGATGGAAAATCTATGGGAACAAGAATTTCGCATTTGTCAAAAATCTCAATCGTTTCATACTCTATGGGAAGAGGCTATTAGTTGTTATCGGATGATTGATGTGGATGTGCTCTGCGGGAATTGCAGTTTCACATTTATCAAAAATCCCAACTGTTTCCAACGTGTGAACTGTATAGGAAAAGGGTATACATTCATTTTTAAATGTTTCACATTTGACGCTAAATTTTTTCATGCTTATTTTCTTTGCTTAGGCCAGCAACCAATAGCGATTTTTAAAAATAGTTCCGTAAGATGAATCGAACATTTATCAGACAATTATTTTTTCCTGTCTGGAGATCGAACATTTTAAATTATGGGCAAAACTTGTTAATTTCTAAGAATCCCATTTTACCAAGTTACTGTTCCTTACGTAATACAAGTTTTTTTAACAAACGTAAGTAAAATATAAAAAAAATAGATGTATACATTTATTTAGCACTTTATGTTAAATCCGCTTATCCCTATCGTACGTCAGGGCTACTTTCAGTCTGGCGAATCGGTATCCACCGGCTGCGTTGAACTACAGTGGTTCAGCTTATTTCAACCAGTCTACACCAAAAACTTTAACAGCCCATAAAAACTAAACAAAACATGTTAACAAAATAATTTAAACGCAGAATATATCTTTGATATTAGTGTTTAATAATGTTATGATTTTTTAAATATTTTACAACTATTTTTTATGAATTAATTAAAAAAAACCCAAAAAAATAAGGCCATAGCCAACCAATAACTTTTTTTTTTTAATTTGGCATGACTACCCTTTTGTTTACCAACAATTTAAAGTCAACTTTACATGGATACAATGCCTTTTGTTGTTGTTGCCAAGTAAAACTACTCTCGACCCGTGGGAAGGACTTTTGGCGTAGTTCCGTCTAAAAATATTGTGTTTTCTAACATTTTTTCGTTATGTGGACTTCCAATTTTGTTTTGTGGTAATGTTAAGACAACTTTAATTCATAATCATTAGCTCTCGTCAGCTCTGGATGAGCTGAAACTGCGAAAAAATATGCACTTCCCATGGGTCATTTCTTTAGTTAAATGAAAAATAAATTTATATTTTAAGATCCTTTGAGTTTTTAATTCATTTATCCTTTAGAATGTGAAGATGGACTCAAATCTTAATCGCGGAGTAAAAAAAAATGGGTGTGTCAAGCCTACGCACGACAGAAGTGAAACTTGTAGTATTCCTCTCTCGTTTATCATTTCATTATACCTTTTTTTCTGTCTTAGGTTAGTTTGAAGATTATAGGTCAAATAATTCAAGGACTAAGCATGGATTTGGTTTATTTCATATTAATTTACAAGTATACAAGTATATTGTGTTTATCAATACCTATCGAAATGAAGAAGAAATTTTTCAAATCGGACCATTCGTTAAAAAGTTATGCGTGATCAAAGTTTTCAATCTATATCTCCATCTCCCTCGCACTCCCTTTACCTGAGTAACGTGTATCTGATAGTCGGGGCACCCGACTATAACGTTCTCTCTTGTTTTCATCTATAGTAGCCTGATATTTTTAATGTATTGTATGTGTACGGGTCTCAGTTCAACAAGGAAAATATCAGGCTACTATAGATGAAAACAAGAAAGGAAGCTACCTTCGGCCAGCCGAAGCTTATATACCCTTGCAGATAAAAAATTGCTCACTCGGTGCAGTTCCAGGGATTCCAGATTCAGCGTTTCTATTTATTTATATTTTGTTTTTAAGTAGTCAAGAATCAAAACGCCTACTTCCTACAAAGTTACAATTAATTTTCTTATATTTGTTTGAATATTCCTATGGAAGCCTTAAGATATAGCGGTCCGATCCGGCTCGCTCCGACATATGTACTACCTGCAATAGAAAGAATACTTTCGGGAAAGTTTTATCGCGATAGCTTTAAAACTGAGAGACTAGTTCGCATAGAAACGGACAGATGGACAGACGGACAGACAGACAGACAGACAGACGGACAGACGGACATGGCTAGATAGACTCGGCTATTGGTGCCGATCAAGAATATATATACTTTATGTGGTCGGAAACGTCTCCTTCACTGCGTTGCAAACATCTGACTGAAATCATAATACCCCCTACAAGGGTATAAAAAGTGACAAAAAGTACTTCTGTAAAATCCATTGTAGCTAAAGAAATAGAGGTCGCCAAAATTTGTGATTGGACACTCTTAAAGTTAAAGATTCAAGGTACCACTTTCGCTAAATTGTGGCTCTGGGCTACGAAAGGTTTTCTTACTATTAAGCCGCAAAAAGTGCCTAAAAATCGAAAATTTGGAACTTTGACCACGGATTTCTAAAAACTTCGACGTGATGGAAAGTTTCCAAGTATGAGGTGGTAATTTACAAGTAAAATTCTTTCAGGTTTTGTAGCGTTTATTCTTGGGCCAAAAAAAGGCTTGATTTTGTCGACCTGTGTTATTGATCTATTTTTTGAACCAAAAAATCAAGCACTCAAAAATAATGATTATTGTTGATTTTTATTTTTTTTTGATCAAAAATGAAACTCACTTGGACCCCACGGGTTTTCTATACCGACTTTGGGCGTCCTTTTTACATAGTCCTATGAAACGAATGCAGACGCACCACCACCAACAAAAAGATGCTTAAACTTCCCACCGGGAAAATTCCTCTGGAAAATAACATATTTTCAAGAGGTTTCTCCATAGAAGCGGAAGGGACTAAACCTCATTCACCCCTTACATTTCTTCCATCTCTGGTTTCAAAATACACGGGGGTGACACAAAAAGTAAGGGGGAAATGAGGTTTCTATCTGGATCTCTGGCAGAAGAATGCAGGACAAAATCCACTGGTTTTTCGACTTCCCGCATTATAGATTTTCCACACGTACCCAGTTATGGTTTTCCTCCACTTGCAATATCTGCTTTTCTACACCCTCCCAGTTTTGGTTTTTCCAGACCCTCGCAGTTTTGGTTTTGCACTGCTTTGCAGTATCTGATTTTCCACAATAAAAATCATGTTTTTTGTAATATTTGTTTGTGTATTTATTAATAATATTTACAATCGAAGCATTGGAACTACAAATTTTTAATGCCTGAAGCATTCCCGGGTTTTGCTTGGCCGAATGCAGTACTTAGATATCCATTTCTTGTCTGTCTTCTGAAAATATCAAACATAATTTAGATATGAATGTAAGACCAGGAATAATAATAAGAGTAATTACCATTATTAGGTCTCCGCACAAAATTAAAGGATCTCTCCAGAAATTATGCCTGGTTTGCCATGGCCGATCATTTACCCTCTGTTCAGTTGTTTTATGTCGGGTATCTATATCAAAAACTATGAGAAGAAAAAATAAAATATGACAAACGCAGGCGCAACACTTCTGGTCCCAAGAAGTCTCAGTCGGCCTGGCTGAAATAAATGTAATATTTTGATTAAGTTAAACAACTAAGTTAGTACTGAAGTACTATTTATACAACCATTTAATGAACACCTCACACCATTTACCACTGGTAAAGATTAAAAACATTTCAAGTGTCACTGAAATGCAGAATTTGTGTTGAAGATAGCATCCGGAGGCGTATATTTATTAATGGGGAAAATATCTGTGATACTAACCTTTGTAACGCTGAAATAAAGGTTATAAAAAGACAAAATTCATTTTATCACTCACCTTTTTATTGTTTTTTAGATTAAAATGAACTATTTTCACTTTTTTTTCACTTTTTCCAACAAATTTAAAAATGATGTGACCCTGCATCATATACTTGATAATACTAAATGCAGATTTGATATAAATTTCGTTGTAAAGTCCGGTCACACTTTGGCGCCAAATAAGTATTTCGTTTAAAAAATACTTTTCAGGGACCGTAATCATTAAAGGTTACGTATATTATTGGTATGTTAGGCATTTTTCGTGTTATCAATACCACCAACACGAATTTTTATATTTTAACAACACTTAAAAATGGCTTAGGCCACGATCTGACGATCAAATTATTTTATTTCACAGAAAATGTTTAAAAATGTAAAAAGCAACAATAGTTTTCTTTGTAATTTAATGTAATTCCTTGATAAATGTGATCAAATATTTTAATCGTCTTACCGTGGCTTTTCTCTATAATTTGGTTGAATCCCACATTCATCCTTATTATTATTTGAAAAATGTTGAGTAAAATAAATTAATATTATCATTATAGACATTATGATAATAATGTTATATAGTTTAATTTTTTTGATTAACAATTATTAATATTTTTTCTACGACTTTTAAAATTACTAAAAATTAAAACTAAATGTGAGAACAAGTCTTTTGGTTTTGGTGTAAATCATAGGATTTTTGAATATTATAAGTTGGTGATTTTCTTGTTTAAAAATATTATAATCGTAGTGCCACAGAAATCACACAGCGCATAAATGGCCTGATATTGATGCTACTCAGAAACCCACCCTCATTTAGCGCTCAGAAATTATCTATCCCTACACCGCCGCCTGCAAAAAGGAACAGGATTTCAAGAACACAAAAACCAACTTCTCACATTCCCGCTGGGTTGGCCTCTGCATCCCTTTAAATGGTATTTTAATTTTGTTCAATAAAGGAGAGTCTTCCAGCCTTTGTTTTTATACCCTTGCAGAGGGTATTATGATTTCAGTCAGAAGTTATCAACGCAGTGAAGGAGACGTTTCCGACCCCATAAAGTTTATATGATCAGCATCCCTAGACTTTTCGGAAAGTTTCATCCCGATAGCTCAAAAACTGAGAGACTAGTTTGCGTAGAAACAGACAGACGGACATGGCTAGATCAAGCTGTCAGAATAAGATCCGTTACCTTAGGACACAATGGAAAAAGTTATTGAGAGACACTCTCAAAGTGTTTTTTGTTTCAAAGTGTCTTGCTCAGACACTGAGCATTTCCGTTTGTTTTTTTTAGGAACCTGTTTTCCTGAGACACTTTGTCTTTCAGAATCTGGCGAAAGTGTCTTTCCATATTAAATGTGATTTGCCAGCATAGGGGTGACAAAGAAATCTCTTCGGGCGGTATCCGGTTGGAATCTGCGTGAGCATCAACACAAGTTACATACGAATTTTGCCCAAAGAGAGTTACGCGCACCCCCGCGATAACAAATTCCAAGGGACCGTGGCATTACTTTAAACTCTTTAAACTCAGTAAGTATAAAAGTGCACTTTTGCGCACTTTCTCTGAAATAAATGTTTTAAGACCACCATCAGAACATGAATAATAATGAATTACGGTCCAATCTTGCAAAAGCGGTATGAACTATATTTGTTATTAGATATTAATTAAACTCTGCAGCATTTGCATCTTTTATCATATTTGCATCTTTTAAAATATAAATAGTGTTGCCGCCCTGTGTTTTTAAATGTTTGTTGTTGTCACTTTTCTTATCCAATTAGTCTAATAGTACAATTA